TGTCTTTTGGGTAGATACCTAGGAGTGGGATTGCTGGGTCGTAGGGAAGCTCCATGTTTAGCAGTTTGAGGAACCTCCAAACAGTTTTCCATAGTTGTAGTCACTTAATTTTTTAAAGGTGTGTGAAGCATTACCATGGTTTTAACAATCAGAATTACAAAAAAATACACTGGAAGAAGGTAAATATGTCATCAGTGTCTGGTTTATACTGCATTCACTTTTGTACAAATAAGCAATGTCTATGCAAATATACATGGGGGGTATGTATATGTGTATATATATACTTATGGGGAGGGAAGGAGTGAAGGAGGCAGGGAGAGTCTACTGGATCTTTCCTAAACCCTTTGAATCTGCAGCTGGTCTTGTGACCTGTTTTGACCCACAGCACACGGCACAACTGATTCTGTGTGAGCTCCAGAGCACAGACCTCAAAAGGTCTTGCAACGCTCACCTTTGCCCTCTTGCAATGCAGCTGTCATGGAAAGAATCCCAGGACATCCTGCTTGACAGAGAGGCTGCATGAGGAGAATCGAGATATTCAAGTTAACAGCCAACGCTGAAGTCCCAGATATCTGTGTAAACCTGTGGACCTTCCTGCCTAGTCCAGTTCAACTGAGTGAACCCAACTGACACCCATGGAACAAAGACAAGCTATCCTTCCTGTTCAAGAGCCTGACCCACAGAACACAAGCAATAAGAAGGACTGCTGCTTTTAAGTCACTGAACTTGGGGGTAGCTTGTCACATAGCCACATACAGCTGAAAATAAGTACAGAGAAAAACAAAATAATATATATGTTCACCAAAAAGACTTGTTCAATGATATGATAGCAATACAATTTAAATTACCAAATCTAGGGCCCTCCCTGGTGGCTCAAGGGATTAAGTCAGCACTATGAAGCTATCCACAGCCACTGCAGCAGAATTTCAATCCCCAGCCCCAGAGCTGACCCACATGTCACAGCAGACCTCTCCTGTCTCCCCCACTGCTCCCCTCAGCAGTGGATTTCAGTAGTTCCGCCTGTTCTGCTCCCCACTCTGTCTCTGGTGAGTCCTCTCACTCTCCTCCCACTCCTCTGGCCTGTACCCCAGTTCTTGTATGCATACATAAATCTTTCAAAAAACTTTGAAAAGTAAATTCCTAAAACTAATAAAAACCAATGTCCATACACATTAGAATGAACAAATATTTGTAAAATGGCATATTATAAAAAGAATGACCAAACGGCCACAACATGAGATGGTCCATTCAAAACTGTATGTGCTTTGGCCCTCCCTGGTGGCGCAGTGGGTTAAAGCACTGCACTGAGAAGCTAACGCCACTTCTGCATGAGTTCAATTCCCGCCTGCCTCGGAGGAGACCACATGGCGAGGCAGACCTCTCCTGACCCGCCCACTGCTCCCCTCAGCAGTGTACTTCGTTGATCTGCCTGTTCTGCTCCCCACTCTGTCTCTGGTGAAGCCTCTCACCGCCCCTGAGCCTCTGGCCTGTACCCCAGTTCTGTATGTACAAATAAATAAATCTTTTAAAAAAAAAAAAAAAACTGTATGTGCTTCAATTGATCCAGCAAAGTTCAAAACAAGCAAAACTAATTCAGGATGTAGGATCAGGAAGTGATGGGTAGATTTGGGAGGAATGGTAAGAGGGTTTCTCTGGCTCTGATAATGGGCTTTTCTTTTCCTGGATGCCAGAGACAAGCTTGCGTTTACTTTGAGGAAATGTACTAAGTCATATAAATGCGATTTATGTACTTTTCTGAATGAAGTAAAAGTTTACATAAGACTAAACCACTGTCCCCTTCTTTGATAAAAATGTTTTTATATTTTTAAATCACCTGTAGAACTTTTTTAATGTAATTTTTTTCTTTTAAACAGGCTAAGTAAATATCTCTGTACTGGAATCCAGCCATTTTGGGCTAAGAATCCTCATAAATGATCCTGATGCAGAGTCCAGACTGAATTATTAGGTTATTAGCAGACAGAGTGCTGTTTCACTTCATCATTACTATAATTTCTTACAAAAATATTTTTTCCAAAGAACATGAAGCACAAACAACTATCTTCAAATTGTAATTATCTAAAAGAAAGAAAATGGCAAAGTACCCATACCCACCCACTCCCCATTCCTCAGGTTTGGCTATTTCACCACTCAGAGAGCTTCTGCAGACCATTAAATGCTTTAATTAGTTTCATACATATGCACTGCATTCAAAGAATGCCACTAAAACAACTTTCTTTCTCCACACTGAAGGGTGCTCACCAGATTGAAAAGATGCTCTTAGACACCATATACATTTTTAACTAGAGCAGAAAATGGTTGGCTCTAATTTTTTTTTTTTTTAAGTTTTTAAGTCTAGAGTGTACTTCAAAGATAACAGACCATAGCTTATAGGAGAAATGTATTCTGTAAATAACCATGTTAAAATCTTTTTTTAAGTACACCTATATTGCTCATCTCTGAAATGAGTTATGTAATCATTTCAAACTGATTAAATAAATGATAAATAGCTAGCTAGGTACCTACCTATCTATGCAGAAAACAAAGACATGATAAGGCCAACTGTATTCAATCTAGCATTTTACCTGTATCTGTTTCATAAAATATTTTTATATCTCAGCCTGAAAGTTTTGTGAATAAAAGATAATATCCTCTTTACTAAGCTAACTACCATACCTCAGTAGACTATGGTTCAGAGAAGATAGAGACAAATTAAAGTTGAATCCAATCCAATCTCATTTTTTGAGAGAAAATTAAATGATCAAATTAGTTGACCCCCATCAGAAAGGGAAAATGTCAGCTGGACTGATGTCACTGGTTGGTTGCTGTCACACACACACAAGTTGGGTGAGAAGCTTTTTAATGTCTTATATTGCTTGCCCATTCCTTGATGAGCACAATTCAACATGTGGGGCCATTTTTCAAAATACTTAACTTTTTTCTTACCTGGATCATTCTGATTTATGTGTGTGTAGTTTTCCAACAAGAAGGAGAAGAAATTGGATAGCTGGATGAAAGAAAAATACATTAATCAATTACTGAACCGTTTGGGACAAACTGTGATGCATATCACCCCTCAACATTCCCAATGAGATTAGGTTAAGCTCAGACTTTTCTGGAAGCCATCTTTTTGCCTAGTTTTTCCTCCTGTCCTATCTTGCTTTCTTCATTCCCTTATAGGTTTCTCTTGAGAACACTTTCTCAAGAAATCACTTCTGCCAGAGTATTCAGACTCTGCTTCTAGGAAGCCAACCTAAGACAGTACTAGGCTTTGTTCATTATGAGCGCTCCTTTTCCTTTTGGTGGTATGATTAAGAGTTAAGGAATATGTCAAGTGTCACTATTTGGACAGAAGAGAGGGAGGAAGTGAAGAAAAGAGGGGAAGAGGGAAAGATGGAAATCCACCAACATCCTAACCATCACCTAGTTGCTGCCTCTATGACTACCAATTTTCAGCAAACGCTTGCATGTACACAGCACAATTAACTCCTTTTGCCAAGTTCTGCCTCCCATGAAGAGTGAACACTAAGGAGCCTTATCAATCTAGAAGTAGGTCTGGGAGTTGAGGGAAGGAAGACTTCACCAAAATATATGATTTTAATGCTGCTGATGGGTTTCTCAATTAAGAGTCAACAGAAACCACACATGAGATAGCATTTCAATGCACAAGGATGGCTATAATCAAGAAGAGAAAATTACAAGTGTTGAAACAGATGTGGTGAAACTGAGCCTTTGTACACTGCTGGTAGGAATGTAAAACAGTACAACTGCTTTGGAAAACAGTTCAGTAATTACTAAAAAAGTTATACACAGAATTACCAGATGACCCAGCAATTCCACTCCTGATATATACTCCCAAGAGAACTGAAAACATGTACACATAAAAACTTTCACACAGATATTCAAAGTATGAGTATTTTTAATAGCCCTGATTTTTGGGAGATGATGAAAAAGTTCCAAAATTTATTATGGTGTGGATGTTTATACAACTTTGTGAATTTACATTATAAATGGGTGAATTGTATTTCAATAAATCTATCATAAAGAACCAGTATTTAAAATGCTGGTAGTGCAACAGGTTAAAAGCACAGCACTGGGCCCTCGCTGGTGGTGCAGGGG